TACAGTTTTGAAAACATTCTTAAATACAGGGTGAATTTTTTTTTTACTAGTGTAAAATTAAATTTTTATCATATATTTAATGTATATATAGAGTTGCCAATGTTATAAGAGTGACAAATAATTTATTTACAAAATATTTATTTTTAAATTTAATATACTAAAATAAAGGAAATTGAATTTATATAAATAAACATTGATTTGCAATAAAAATTTGTCATGACATCATTTGATGACGTTATTAAAGCTTTTCAGCGTTTACTATTTACGTTGTAGGCAAATATCCAAATGGGTCGGGTAATGTAGAGAAAAACTATTTAAATAAATTGTAAATTAAAATTGACAGATTAATATTACGTTTTTTAATCTAAAGTCGGAAAATAGATTAGACTAAAATTAATTATTTATTATAAAGAAAAAGGTGTAACCAAATATTTGTGTTTATACTTTTACCTGGACCTTAAAAGTTCTAATAATAACGAATAGTATTTTATGTGATGTACAGTTTCATTCTTCATTTGAAGAATGAAGACAGTCTTTTGGTATTTTTAACTTTTAAAACTTTTTTATATGAGACTTGTCCATAAAACTTATTTTCTTATCATTCTTATTCATAATTTTCTTTTATTTAAAATTCATTTATCTCTTTCGCTTCCATAGTTGCTACTATTTAAATCCAGCTTTGTTAATTAATATCTTATACCTATCTTATATTAATTAATATTAATTAATTAATATCTTATATTAATTAACAATACTTTGGGCTTACCACTTAAATTCATTTTTAACAATTAAATAAAATACAACATAATAATAAGATATAATATTTTTATAATATAAAATAATATTGTAATTTATTCTTCTACGTTTATATTTTTTATATAATTTTATTATTATTTTTATTTATTTTTAACATTAATTTATTTTGTTTTATTTTATTTTATTTTATTTTATTTTATTATATTTTATTTATTATTATATTATTTTATTTTTATTTTTTTTTTGTTTGGAAGTTTTTACTTTTCATATTAATCCATATTAACATGAAAAATTATTTATGGGAGGTTTTATATAGAAATTCGCATGGTTTTAATGGCACTTTTATTTTTCTTTTCTTTGCTGTAATATTATTTGATTTTCTTTTATATAACATTATTATAAGATTATTGTGAGTTTTAATTAAGCTGGAATTTTAAAAGGAAACTCAACCGAAACCTAAAATATTGTGAAATATTTGATGGAGTGAAATCGAAGCCGAACCGGAAAGCCAATATGGTCTGAATTCGATTGAAGTTTGCTGTTAAATTGTTATACACTCAAATTATTATACTATATTTACTCGTGTACGTGAACTCTTCATATTCACTACTCTAAGTATTAAAAAATTTCTAAAATTAAAAAAAAAATTCTAAAACTTGGGAAAAGTTCTAAAACTTGGACAAAGTTCTAAAACTTGAACAAAGTTCTAAAACTTCAACAAAGTTCTAAAATTTGAACAAAATTCTAAAGCTTGAAGAAAGTTCTAAAACCTGAAAAAAGTTCTAAAACTGGAACAAAGTTCTAAAATTGAAGCAAAGTTCTAAAATCTAAACAAAAGTCTAAAGCTTGAATAAAGTACTAAAATGTGAACAAAGTTCTAAAAACAAAACAAAGTTCTAAAATTAGAACAAAATTCTAAAATGAGAACAAAGTTCTAAAATTATAACTTCTAAAACTAAAAACAAAACTAAAAGTTCTAAAACTAGAAACAAGTTCTAAAACTGGAACAAAGTTATTAAATGTAAAAAAAATTAAAAGCTTGATTAGTATATGTTTTCATGTACTTAATATTGGATATTTATTTTTTATAACTTGTGTTTCATTCCGACAAGATAATATAAACAAATCAATACAAGTAAAAATTATATTTATTTTTTTTTCAATAATTGGCAACTTTGTTTTATCTTGTATAAACTGGTAAAAATTTTCATTGACATTGTTTATTCAGAGGGGCCTATTTTTATAAAAATTTTGTTTATTGTTTATGTTTTTGTTTTTCAAGCACCTCTTTTGTGACATTTCGATTAATCAGAACATTATAAACATATTTTTGTTTTTATAGATCAACACGATCACTTATTAAACATTTATATATTTTCTTTTTTAAAAAAAATAATAATAGAGTACATGTTTTTAAATTTAAATAAAATAATTATTGAAAAAAACAAATTATATATAATTAAATTATTGTTGTCCAGTTTTTATGAAAAAATATTTATATAATATATACTGAAATATATTAATGAAATATATACTATATATAATGTATAGTTCAGTTATCCAAACTGCACATTTCATAAAAAATAATAATTGCTATTAATAGATATACGTGCATATTGTATATAGAATACAATGATATTCAAGAGTAACTTCTTCAAAAATAAAGAGCACAAATTAAGATATCAATATTAAAGTAGACATGAGGTGAAAAAATTTCATTATACGAGTACATTCATCTGTGCTACACAAATACACATTAAAAAATTCTATTAAAATTGATATCTTTATTCATTTTTGATATACCTAAAAAACCTATTCGGACATTATACCTATTCGGACATTATATCTAATGACATTTAAAAAGTAAGCAATAAAATGCGTCAATATGATAATTAATCTAATTATTTAAAGTCATTCATGTACGACGCGTTGCATTCTATATTTTAATTTATAAGTTTTTTCCTATAATTTCACTGTAAACGATTTTGCTAATATTTAAAATAAATAAGATTCGCAAACAAAAACCATATTGGAAAAAGAATGTATTTAAGTATTAAATTAGATATCATTCGAGAGATAAAATTAAATAATTAGATTGCTTTTAATAACAATATCAACAAGTCCATATTTACATTGGCTTAGACTAGTTAATCTCCTATGATTGATAGGATGATTATAAGAGATATTAACATATAATTCATTAGGTTATGTTTAGTTTTTTGACAATTTAATACAGTTTTAAATATATATAATATAGTTTATATATAGTATGAGCCGAAATTTCTAATACTGATTTACAAATAGTCTTTAAAAAGAAGATTCAACCATATGCAGGCTAATGAGTGCAATTGGACTCCGCTCCAATAAATGAAAATCAAACCCTCTCATTGAGATGCCCTGTAGAGCTATTATTCTTGTAGTAGGTTTACTTATAGGTCGTTGTATGTTAGGTTACCATGATAGGAGACTAAATCTTCCTTTCAATCATACCTGGCGCAGTTGTCGATACGACGATGAAAGTGCCTCCCAGCAGTCCAGTAAATGCGCTGTGCCGTCTAATCAATTCAAGCGCTTTCCATTTTGGGGATCTTGGTGAACTGCTAGACCTCCCTCTGAATAGCAATATAAGCTTTGCCAAAGGTTTTAAGTGGTTATAACCATTGAGTTTTTTTATTATACGGTAACACAATGGGCCTATAGGCCTAAGAGGATTCCTTGGGATCGCCAATATAACTTAACCCAACCTACTAAATATCGTTTACTTTAAACTAAACTATAGTTACATGCACTTCTTTGGGTGCACTTCTTTAATGAACACCCAACAGAAATGAACAGAAATGAAAATTTCTATCAGTGTCAGTTGAAGCTATTACTTAGTTTGGATATAACTTTTCTTTTGAGTATTTTTTTGAGTGTTTCAAGCTATATAAGATTTCAGTTGTATTTCGAATTATAGTACGAGGTTGCCAAAGACACAATTTCACATTACATTAAAGCTATTCTACTCGAGTACTTCAATCACAACCACTAGACGTTTTATTATGGAAGCAAACCACAATTATCAGATCGGCGGTATCTTCGGAATCTGCGGTACCAGATATACATACACCTTTGGGTGTGTGTTGCATTAATTAAGTCGAAGACTATCAGTTCATCTCGAAACATATCATAATAATTTTTATGTTTTCGCACCCGCCTTTTTAAGTTGAAGACAGTGTGACTTCTATAATTGCTAAGTGAAGAAAGGCTTAATAAATTTTTGATAGCATTGATCTATATTGAGTCCGAAGTGTTATTTCTTTGAAAGCATCTTATTATTCAATGATATTGTTGTTGATAATTATTTCAAGTTAATAACCAAAGAATCTTTATATAATTGTGAGAATGAACTGTGTATCAGCGTCCACTGATAACATCGGGATAAGCTTTTAATTCAATATTGTGTGAGTGTTCGTATATCTGCTAGTTGTGTTGAAGACTATTAGCACAAAACAAGGTAATGTTCGGTTGTGAACTAAAGGTATTCAAGTTTTAGAGCCCTATCGCATAAGCATGCTCTTGAAAGCATTGACATCTTATGTGTGTGTTGATCTAATGTACCTATGCGTTTCGTGATCTTTTTAATCAGTTAGAATATTATACAATATTATACAAAAAAAATGAAAAAAAGAAGAAGAATTAGAACAAATTTCATATAAATTAAAAAAATGCTGTCAAGGTTCTGCTCTTTAATACGTTACCACAATTATTTATAACTTATCTAATTATTTTATTATTATGGAATTTTTTAATCAGCTTAGTAAATAATAAATACATATATATAATATGAAATTAAAATTCATAATTATCACTTGGCCGCAAGACCCATGACTTTACTTATTTTTTTATGATTTTCAAATCGAATTGACTTGAGAGCTCTCCAGAACGTTGGGTAGAGCAAATCAATATTTTGTTTTTGTTTCATTGGTTATAGATTCTTTCTTTGAATTGAAGACTATACCTATCTAACAATATAATTAGTTGCATTTTCATTGGTTTGTATTTATTGTGATTAATTAATTACGAGTATTATGTTATTTTACTTATTAAGTAGTTGTGGGCTTGACAGTGTTAAATTATATTATTTATTATAACAAAGTAGATTACGAATATAAACATTTTATTTAAATGTTGGACTATGATAAAAATGTCATACCAAAATATTCAATGTAATATAAAAATAATAAACAATAAATAATAAAATATAAAAAATGTTATATTTTGTTATTTAAAAAAATTTGTGTCTCGAATAATAATCTTTGCACTTCACCCATTAAAATTATTATGCGATTAAGGCAATGCTGTTATTTGGTGAGTTTTGTTTATCTTGAGAACTGAGCAAATGATAAGACGAACATTGCAATTAACATGTTATATACATCATTAAATACATATCTTCGTATGTATGTATAATTAACAAAACTGAATGAAAAAAAACGTATTGTGCAATAAAATTAGCAACTGTGAAAAAATTATATATACTTGAGGTAAAAGTAGATTTGTTGGAAAATTTTTAATTTTAAACAAAATATTTTTCAAGTGATAAACCAATTTTAGTACATACGAGTACTTCGAATGCGGATTTTAGACGTTCAGACTTAAAGGAAATAAATTTTTCTTTACTCTTAAGATAAATTGATTAAAATACAATATACATATAGTTTTAATATAAAATTATTTGAGGTAATTTTATTAAAAGTGAAGTGAACAAAAAAATACAGAAATGAGTCAACGCGGTGTCATTCCTACACACATAAAGGCTGATGAAGAAGATGATGATGAAACTATTGACGGGTCTTTTAATAGAATTCCAAGAAACAGACCAACGATAAATATAGTTAAAAGCAATACTGGAGGTAATACAAAATGCATATAGATTTTTTATAATAACCTTAGTTGATAATATGTTTATCCAGTGTGGAGAGAATAATATTTAATATACTAAAATTAAAATGATAGAGATAAGAGTTGGTGCAAATAACATATACTATTGTAATAACATATCGATGTTAATATTTATATTGTTTTAAAACACTAAAAAGTATCGCTTCCCAAACTTCTTTTCAACAAGTTACAAAATATCGACTTCTACAAGAGCTTTCTTCATGGTATTATTTTAGATAACATATCAATGTTAACTATTTCTATTTAGGTTTTAGATGTTGTATCATCAAACTCTTCATCTTACAGACTTATATATTTATATTGTTTTAAAATACTAAAAGGGATCGCTTCCCTAACTTTTTTCGTTAAGCTACAAAATATCTACCAAAGCCTTCTTCATGATATTAATTTAGGTAGTTTTTGTTAACCTTACCTATGATTAATTTATTTATTTAGATAGTTTTTTTATTATTCGCATAAAGATGTCAAAAGAAATACTGCAGATATCAGGTTTTTTTACATTTTCAGCAGAAATTGTGTAAACATAATTCTAAGTTTCAGGAGTAAGCATGGCTACACTTCTAACCCACCCACATTGGGGTCCCATGACCCATCACGTTGGATTGAGTTTTTACTCTATATAAGTGGTTATCTAAATTAAAAAAAAAACAATGCAGAATTAAGCAGAGAATGCGCATAGTAAACAGCAATAGCATTAATAGAGCAAAATAGTATGCTATTATTTATATTATAAATATTGGACTATATTATGTTCGAAAAATAACTCCGACTTATCTTTGAAAAGGAGTGATAAAGTAAAAACTTCCCTTTTGAACGTAAGTGAACTAATTTCTTGTGAGATTGGTTGCCATCTGCTTCTTTAATTTACTAAGTACTTAGCACAATCATAAGCACCAATGAGTTTTATTCATAATGTATCTGGAATACCAATGTTTTCTTATATGTTTGTTATATGCAAATAAAAAACTACAATGACCTACGAGAGGTTATAACAAGACTATAACATAGTCAAGTTTTAATCTATCGGGAACGTAGAACCAAGATAAAAATGAAAGAATTTGTGGTAGTAATTACAGGTCACTGGTCAGTAAGCACACATGCTGATAAATTTGATATCTCTTTCAATCAGAAATACAGAATCTGTAACGAATAAGAGAAAAAAAAGGGAATAATTTATTTGTAAACGCCTAAAGCTTTTAACATTGAGACATTCCAATATGGAAGCCAAAAACCTACGGAACCTGACGGACTTTCGAAACTTGTATTTTCAAAAAATAATTTTCTTTATCAACAGTGCAAGTAAATTTTAAAACTAAGATTTTCATGTTCGAGTTTGTAGTAACTAAACAGCGCTTATAAGCTACGTAAACAGAAGACAAAATTTTTCCGCCACTAAAACCATAAAATCAACTATGTTTGTTAAATGTATAAGCCCAGCCTTGTTAAGAAAGTAAATTCATTTTTTTAGATCAAATTTTTTTAGAAAACTAGATAATGTAGGAACAGGGCACCTTTAAAAAACTACTAACATTCTAATGTTCTATTAAACTTGGTCCTGTTAGCTGGCATTTTTAATTTTTTACTTTTTTGGTGCTGTTAGTTGGAATTTTGCACTTTTTCTTACTTTAATTTATTTGATCTCATTTAAGCAGTGTCTGCTATTTAAAGTTTATTTAGCTATTTAGTTTACAAAATACTTTATTCTTTTATTTGTGACCAAAAATATTATATAATAATTTATTAGCAGTCTAATTGGTCATCTAAATAAAAATAAAAAAAAACTATAATTTATTATATATATTTAAAAATTATTTACGAAACACCACGTTATCGAATATCAGAATGGTTACAGGCTCCTCGGGGAGGTATACAGATCTGAGGTCATTTATTACTTAGTCTGATGAAGTGATAAACAATAATACTCAACTAACTAGCCTCAACATAATAATAAAAATATTTTTCCAATATTTCCAATAGTTCATCTTCAGGGAAACAACTATGTAGTTTATTTTAGCTTTAATATACAAATAGTAATAGATTTTGTTATATGTTTATTTTACACTTTTTTTTAAATTGTTTTGTTAAAAAATGTATAGAAGTCCATTTCAAACGACTATTCATTTTGAAGGTAGTGCCTTAATCCAAAACTAAATCTAAAAAAACCATATTAAAAAAGTAATACCATATTAAAAAGTAAACAAAAGAGATAAAAAAATCATAATTAATCATAAAATACAGAGTGTTGTAGAAAACTCTTAACGGATAAGAATATTTATTCTCAAAGTTGATTCATAAGAGAATCTTATGTTAAATCCCCGGATTTGAATCCTTTAGTCAAATGATGTTTTTATTTTAGGGTCTAAGGAATCTTCTTCAAAATGTATGTTACTTTATTATGAAACACACTGTATTTATTACAACATCTTTGTGACCTTATCCTTTTCTTTTTTTACAAAAAAAAAAAATATTGCAATCTGCTAGTAGATAAATAAAATGAGAAAATATTTTAATTCAAAAATTTTTAGCTCATTGTCATAAAAATCCATGAAATGAACAAATTTTTAGAATAATGTGTCCTTCCTGCTGGCAAAATTTATAATCATACTAATGTAGTTATAGTTGAATATCGATTTATCTTTAAATTGTTTTTTCAACTTAAAGTACAATATATCATAGATACAAGTCCAAAACTAAAATTTTAATTTTATTCTTAATAATGTTTGCCAAATAATTTGATTTATAACGCATTATGACATCAGAAACATTATTTTATAGTTATATATTTGTTGTAATAGTATTGTATTTATACATACTTAAGTGAAAGATATATATAATTATTTATAAATTTTTTATTTCAAATATAACTTTTTACAATTTATTGTTATTATTTATTTTTATTATCGAAAGAGTAATTTTCTTATGTTTTTTCAGTGAATGCATTTTTATCTTTATAAAATATATATAGAAAGAAAATAATTTTAAAATAGAATTCGCTATGTCTAATAGCAAATTAAATGCATAAATATCTAATATGCATTTATATTGTATTTTGAGATATTTTGAAATTTATGACGAATATTAGAAACTGAATGCAATATAAAAATATATTTCTTCTTATCATTAGTAGACGTTTCAATACTAATGAGTTTCATTGTAATAAAATTTGTCAATTTTTTCAATGTTATCAGTAGAGCTATCAGACATTCTAAACATGATTCTAGATACTTATTTGTTTACGATTCTAGATTAGAACTTATTTTTGCTACCGATAACGATAGTGATTGTAAATAATCAATATATTAATTATTCCAATATAAATCTTTAGTGTTATTAACTCAATTTTGTTGTAAAACTTTTTAAAATGAGGTCAATAAAATATCACTTCTTAAGAAAATGTTACTTTTAATTATTATTGAAATTTGCTGTCTTTCCAAATTTTGATTATAAAACATAACTGAATTAAATATTATTTAATATAATATCTTTAATTATAAATTAGTTTCTTAACGATTTGCTAAACTCTTAACTATTTATTATTTATTATGTAGTGTTCCTACACAATATTTAATATTATATGTTTTATTTAGGGTCCAATATGTTTTATTTAGGGTATTTAAATAAGAGAAAATAGATACATCAGTTTCATAATTCTCTTGGTGATGACCACCATCGGTTAGTAAACCCTTATAAGAGATTTAATATTTCATTCAATGATTCTTGCCACGAATATGGAAAAGTTATAAAAAGTACTTTACATCTGCTTTATCATTTCCTGTACATATGCAAGGTAGATGACGTTAGTCATATACTCTATATATTACAGACGTATTTTCTAAAATATCTTGGTAAGATCACAATTTTTAAATCAACTTGAAATTCATTAAAGATTGAAACCCTTTGGAGTCTTGAACGACTACACAAGGATGCATTGGATCTCTGCCAAAATAACAAAATATAGAATATCTGCTTTTATGAACGACCAATGGTTGATGTTAAACTGATTAATTAAAATTTGAGATTATTATATTAACGAAGTTTTTTAATCATCATGAAAAATGTAGATTTGATAATTAACAGCCATACTAAGGTTAGGGTACGTGCTATAGCAATATGGCTGTTTGGAATTAAAAAAAATTTAAGAAAAATATTAACAAAATTTTTCCCTGACCACCACAGTATTACCTATAACGATATTGAATTTGACACATTTGAATAAAATTTTATAAAAATCGGTTTAGTAGGACTTTGATTTATTAATGAGGTCTAGATAAACACGTTTAAAGATTTTATTTTGTCCCTGTTTGTCAAAGTGACTCTAGTATAAAATAATTGAAATTGATTCAAATGTTAAAAAATTCTTTTAAATTAATATTTTATAAGTTTATTCAAGCTTGAAAAAAATATATTTTATCAAATATTGTATTTAATTAAAATTGAAACCATTTACAGTATCTACATATATGAAAACAAAAGATTAGTATCAATTTTAGATATCCAAGTTCAAAGTCGTTCCAAATATTTTGAAAAAAAGTTTGTTTTTATTTAGCATTTACTCAATAATATATTATTTATTATATAAATATTATATTTACTATTTATTTCTCAAATATATATTTTTTTAAATATTGTATTTAAATAGAATTGGAACCCTTTATAGTATTTCCATATATGAATACAAATGACTACTTGTATCAATTTAAATATCCAACTTCAAAGTCTATCCAAAATTTTTATGTTCAGCATTTACTATTTGTTATACATATATGAAAACAAAAGATTAGTATCAATTTTAAATATTCAAGATCAAAGTCGTTCCAACATTTTTTAAAAAATGTTTATTCTTAACATTTATTATTATTATCATTACATTTACTATTATTATACAAATATATTTTATAAAATATAGTATTTTATTAAAATTGAAACCCTTTATTGTATGACCATATATGAAAACATCAATTAGAATCAGTTTTAAATACAATATACCAACTCATTTAACACAGTCTTTTGAGATGTTTAAAAGAAAAAATCTCATAAAATTAAATATTCAGTATAAATATATTATAAAAATATATAAAATATTGTTTTCAATTTATTTTATATTTATTAATAGCAACCGTAAAAATTTTATCGCTGCTTAAAATCAATATTGACCGATTTTTGTTTTTCTGCAAATTCAAAAATATACAAAAATTTTATGTTTACTCACAGAATGGAACGAATCACATACCACCAACTGTCAACCGTTGCTGATAATGAAGTCAACACTTGATTTGCATTGCCATTATCAGTATTAGCAAATATATTAGCTATTTAAGATTGTTGTTTGCATCTAAAGTATCAATCCGTCTATCTATCTATCTATCTATCTGTCACTCTATCAGTCGATTTATTTGTGTGATTGTAGGCTTCACGGTTTGTTTTGGTAACGCCACACGTACCGTGTTTTGTCTAGAAAAGTAGGTTTGAGTAGGTTGTTGTTTTTATTATTATTATTATTAATAATAATAATAATAATGAATATTATTGCTGTATATTATATAGTGTTTTGCATATATGCAAGTATTTACATATTAATTTCTGTTCAGATATGAATTCTGATTTGTATTCATTTAAACATATTTGGAAAATTTTTTTACAATTAGTTATGTGAAAGCTGCAGAAGAGTGATCAACAACACTTCATTCCAGTGTCTCTCCAAGTTCATGACTGACAGTCGCTTTTTAAACAGAAAATAAAATAAAAATAATTATAAATAAATAAAATGAATTTCAATGGTTTTGATACTACAAATTGTCTTTTGATCGAACAAAAACTTTTCGTTGCTCCAAGTATTAAAAATGGTAATAAATGGTCTATGCGTATGTGTGTGTGTGTGTGTGTGTGTGTGTTTAAATGCCATTACAAAATGAAGCACAAAATCAAGCACAGCCACAATAAGTCAGTTCTTTTTGTTTTTGTACATGTTCTTTTTGTTTTTGTACATATTTTTTTTTGTTGTAATTAAGTGTTCTGTGCTACGGTGAAAAGCACACCTGAAACAATGAAGCAATTGAAAAAGCAAACAAACACACAAACTTCAAGTGTAGCAAATGTGCTGTAACAGAACAACAATAACAATTAGTATCAGCACACAACGCCACACCACACCACAGGCGGAACGTGAAATGCTGCTACAATTGGGACATTTATCGATTTTTGTGTCAAATTTGTTAGTAAAAATTTGTGCTCATTTGTGCATTTTGCTAATTTTGTTTTTTTCTACAAATTTTTTATTTGTGTTAACACAAATTATATTTATTTTTATTGGGCGTTGAGTGGGTGACATTTTTAATTAAGTTGTGTGTAGACAAAGTGTAAACGTAAATTAGTATTTAATAAGAATTAATGTAATTGCTTTTCTAATTAAAAATTTAATTTTACATTTCAGGTGCCGAGTCGCCTAGCTCCTCAACCGGACAGCAGCCCGTGACGCCAAATAATGGTGAAGAAATCGATGCCTTACCAAATGAAATCTCCGCTCCGTATGAGGTACCACAGTTTCCTATCGAACAGATAGAAAAGAAATTACAATTACAACGCCACTTAAACGTCAGGTAAGTCCCATCGAAATGCTTAAAAAATATTTAAATTCTATAAATTTATAAATTTATTACTCGTCACGACGAGGTACAATTATAAATAATAAATTATGCTAAATTATGCATAAAGAAAAATGCATTACGTTGCATATATTCAATTTTCTGAGAGAAAACAAATTATTATTATTTGAAAAGTTGAATAAAAATAAATATTTACTTATGTGCATTTATATCATATATACAATAATATTTACTTTATATATATACAAGTACATTTAAAAAAAAATAAAATTAAAATTAAAAAAAAATATAAACACAAATACAAAAGAATATTGTCTTATCATTGTCATTGACCTCACGTGCAGTGTTGATTAAACAGTGCCGGTACTTCCAGTATATTTCTTCCGTACTATGAAAAAAAAATGTAGCCCACTTTTCACTTTTTTGTTGATATATTTGATTTTTTAATGTCTATATATATAAAATTTAAATTGAAAAAAATTAATAATCATTAAAATATTAAATATTAAAAAAATATTCTAAATCAAATATTTCAAACTATTTCCTAGACCATCTTCAGTATGCACTAAAGAACTGAATGTTCTACATATATATATTCTTTTTATATATATATATATTTTATATATATATATATATTTTATATATATATATATATTTTATATATATATATATATTCTTTATATATATATATATATATTCTTTATATGTATATATGTTCTTTATATATATATTCTTTATACCTATAGACTTTTATAAATATTTTGACTTTTAATTAATTTACTTAAAGCTATAAAAAACAAACAAAATGAAATAAAATCTTATATATGAAATTGTGAGTTTAAGTTCAGCTAATTTATTAATTTCGTCTTAAATAGCTATAAACTTTAGATTCAAAATTCATGACTTTCAAGAAAAGAATAAGCTATTTGTGTAGGTCAGATTAGAATGGAGTAGCGACACTTGAGCTCAAATAATGGTCCGTTTTGATACCACGGATTAGCATTAATTATACGCAGAATAGAAGAATTTCCGAAAATCGCGACTCTCCCATTCAAGTGAAAGTAAACCTACCTGTTAAGCCAACAAACTTGGACAAGTGTCTAATCTTGCAGGGTGACTACTCTATTAGATCGATAAGAGAAGAGGCCCCGAGGATTTTAAATTTTATTCTATGCCAATGATGAACACTGACATATGAGTTGAAGTATGATTTCTCCTTATTAACATTGCCAAACTCCTGCAAATGTCATTATATAATAGACCCACTCTCATAGCATGTATTTTTAGTATACACTGGCCTATCAGCATCGATATCTTAGTTAGGAAAAGCTTTAGTTGAAGATTTGAGAATTGTTTTAGGTACTAAATTTTATAAATTAATGTCTTATTGTGGAATTAGTTGGTTCAGAATTAATTTCCTGTTTAATAATTTGCTGTAGTAGTAAACAGCTACTATATCTTTATGACTGCAAAGACCTAGTCCTCCTTAGTAAAATACAGCTGAGGTTGTTGTTAGTTTACCTGTCATTATAACCTGCGGCACTATCACCCAAGATAAGTCTGTCTAAGATAATAGAATGTTGTCTCTGTCGAGTAAAGAAAGAGTCTTCTACATAAACTCTTTTTTTAATCTTTCGATTTTGATTAGAATATTTCAAAATAATTAAAATATTGGTTTTGTGACTAAATATAAAAACTTCCCAATAGTAAACATTCTGAAGAGACATAATATACGAAAAAATGAATATCTACTGTTTTACGATCAGTTGTTGGTATATAATATATGTTATGGTTACAATATTTCGCTCAACTGGAAACCCAAAAGGCCAGCACTTTTTTATTTTATTATATTCTATATGTTAGAAAAGTTTAATATCTTTGGTTTACTATAGTTCGCACACTGTTAAGTACTGTTATTTGATTTAGCAGTAGAGTAAAGCAGCCAGAAAGGTTTGAGAAATATAGAATTTCTAGTTCATGAATTGTAACAAAGAATATTTTTTTTTTAAATATTTATTTTGTCACAAACTAATTAATATACTTATATTTTAGATATATATATATATACGTATTAAAAGAAACAATTTTTTATGTAAAACATTTGTTTATTTTGTTTATCATATTTTTTAAATTAATTTCTATTTACAGTTAAAATGACATCTTGAATTTTTAACATAAATAAATTTTTAATAATTATTTTTAGTTTCAGTTTTCTATTTTTGTAACTGCTTGTGCACATTCCATTTTTAGAAGACTTGATCTCTCTAACCTAGAGGATGTGCATCAACATTTATTTTGTTAAGAGTTTTATGCGTCTTAAAAATTGAAAATATGCCAAATTAATTCATTTGAAAAGCAGCTAATTTATATTTTGTAACGTAATTAATTATTAACAATTATTCAATTTAGAGCAAAAAAACTATAAAAGAAAGTTCAATCATTTCAATTTAAGAGATAATCTTTTAGTATATTTTTCTTCTTTTAATTTTATGTCTCATATCTCATTCCTTTCCTTTTTTGAAATGAATGTTTATTAATAACTCAACTTTCAGTAAATAAATTAATTTAAATTTTTTTCAAACCAAACTACTTATTTTTAGAAAAAATGCTGTCAGATATAAAAACTATAATTTTAAATTATAAATTCATAAAATATTTTAGTAAAAATGAAAAAATTTGGTACAATATTTTAATTTTAACATAGAAAATCTATTATAAAGGCATTCTATGAAAATATTTAAGCTTAACATGGTGTTTACACTGGCTAGACTTCGGCAAGATTTCTATGTTCGATATTTTGTTTTTTATTTTTTATTTTGTTTTTTATTTAAATATTTTTATTTTGTATGTGTGAATAAAAAATTGAAAGTGTATACAATACAAATAATCTGGGCAAAGTCTAGCTATTATAGGACGTGGAGTAGTTGAGTGTATGCAATGCCTACACTTTGCCAAGAATATTATGTTCGAATGCAAATATATATAATTTTCGAATTTGTCAGCGAACAATAATTTGTATACGTCAGCGACAAAGTGAGACTATATGCAATAATCTGGCCAAACTCTAACCATTTTAGATACTTAATGTTATGCGTAAAGTCTAAATTAGTTGCTGTAAACATATTGAATGTAGAAAATGGTAACGGCTGTACGCTGTGCACAGAAAAATAGATTATTTATGAAATACGTACAAATCAAAACAGCATAAAAACACAAACAACACAAGTTCAATCCGATCACCAAATACTTTACACACAAAGCAATGCAATGCAATTGCTTTTTTTATTGCGGTTAGGTAGCACTGATTGTCTCTCGACATTTTAGTGCTTTTAGTTAGCAGTTTTGTGCTCTATTAAACTTTTTTTTAATTTTTGGTCGTTTTAGCAATTAGTTGCATTTTGTTTTTTTAGTTAAAATTAGTTGCATTAAATTTTTAGTGATTCTAGTTAGTAATTTTTTTTACTAAATATTTAGTGGTTTTAGTTAGCAATTTTTCTCAAAACATTTTCATTGCATGACTTATTTGCTTTTATAAATGTTGTTGTAAATTTTTTTTATTTTTATCTAATAAGGTTCTTACTTTAAATTTGCATACGATTCTGGTTTTAAATGTTAACTAAAATTCATAATATTTATAAATATTTTGTTGCCATTATTAGTTCATTAATTCCTTTATTCAGCTCTCTTCATGAACATTTACTTTCCATTTTCTTTCCGGCTGGAATGGGGATTAGTTGTGCATATATAAGAACATGACACATGTTTCTCGTTACCTTTGTTTTATTTGTCATTTGGTATAAAGTATCGTCCAATACTCAACTTACCCACCGTATGCATGCCAGCAACTTGGATTTTGAATAGTTTCAGTAAGAATTTTGCATTCAAATGACTTGGAACGTTAGTTATATTAACTGCATTGATTGAATGAACAAAAAGTTGCTTAATATATACTGCATTTCAATTGACTCGAAATTTACTTATATTGCATGAGCATCTAATATCTCACAGCTATTCACAACTATCAACATGGAAATTAGTTTTCTATTCAAATTAATTTATGCATCAAAATATTCGTACGCGGTGTCGTATACGTGATCTTTTGGACTTTTGCATATTTTAGACAGTTTTTTTTTTGTATTCGCGTATTGATTTACAATAAGTTTGTTTGGTGTGAAAAAAATTGTAATAATTTTGTGTTAATAATTTTGTTAAAAAACATTTCAATAAAAAATATTACAGTGTTTGATTTATTAAAAAATGATGAATAAATGAATCTATAAATGCTCCTCTAACATTTATTTCATTATTTGTTAAAGCAAATTTCGTAAAATTTCTACATACAAGTATGAATATATATATTTATCTTTCTATATCTCGTATTTATTTTCCTTTATTTTTCTGTTTCTTATTTCGTTTAATATTTGCTTTGTGATTACAAATCACAAATATGCAACGTCAAGAACTAGAAATTATTGCTAATATTATTTCTTCAGTCAAGGCCGTGTTATTCTAATAATTATAATTGGTTTAGTAAGGCAAACAATCACAAAAGGGAAAAATATATATATGTACTCATTAATGACGTCAGAGTTGGACAAATATTGTATTTATAAATATTGTCCAACATTATTAAATACTTTTCTGCAAGAAATATAGTTCAATGAATTTAAAATTATACAATATTTGTATACATTTGTATACATATATATGTTTCTATACATACGAGCGGTGTTTGAAAAGCTTTGAACTAACATCTGAGTCAACCATTTTAACTGTTATATTGTTTCCTATTTTTAAACGTAATCTTCTCTTAACATAGTATCATTTGCTTAAAACTGCTCCAACTTCTTAACTCCCTCCAATAATGCGTTATGTCAAGGTTTTAAGAATACCCACTTAAAACGGATATAACTTCTCGATTTACATAGGACTTATGAGTTTCGAACCAAGCCTTCAACTTTGGAACCCGGGTGAATTTGATAGAGGGTCAATCAATTCTTAAAAGAATTCATAAATTTAAGACCTGTCAACTACCCACTTAAAACGGATATAACTACTCGATTTAGATAGCAATTATGCGCTCCGAACCAGCCTTCAACTTTGGAACCCAGGTGAATTTGATAGAAGGCCAATCAATTCATAAAGCAATTCATAAATTTTAGATATGTCAACTACCAGTCACCCATCGAAGTTAGGAATTCAATCCAACTCAGACTACAGATACCATGTGCTGTAGTCTATGTGCTTGGGAATGCCCGGCACTGATGCACATGCAGAAGAAACACCTAGGAGGATATTTCATGGATCGTAAGGATCCAAGAGTAGGAAAAATAGGCGCTATACTGTCTTTCATTAAAGAAATCGGACTCGGAGAAACATTCTAATTCGACTAAGGGGCACAATAGATCTTTTAGGTTGCAGTGCACGATCCCTTCTTTTTAATAATAATAATAGTGTATTATTGGACATAAATCCATTGAAACACACCCATTTTTTTTGACCATCTATCTTATTATTAAATTTTGAACTTAGTGTATTCACAACTATTTCGTACAAATTCTTTCCATGCGTCTTTGTTTCTAGCAGAAAAACGTAGCTGGTTAAAAGTTTTCTGTGTCCTGCGAGAAGTAGTCTTCGATCGACCTGGTCTTCTTACTCCATTTCATGACATGAACAATCACATTCATTGGTTTTCTCAATGTGTGATCTAAAATTTTCGTTTTAAACGAGAGACTAGAGAGAAATCGATTAATCACAGACTATATAACACGAACTCATAACAGACTTAAAATATATACATATAATTTCTTATAATACAGTTTTGGTTATTATTTGTCTTAAACACGGTTATATATTTATAATATTCTATATATAGTCATTATTCTTAAAAATATAATAATAATAATTTTTTTAGTTTTATTTTTAATGGATGTTTACACTTATCTTATTCTTTACATTTCTATACTTGTATAATAACAACAGTAAAGTTTTAAAAGTAAAATATTTAGAAATTTTCAGATGACTTGGTTTCCAAAACTCCTATAGTATTCTAATGTACTGTCGTGTACAAATGAACCCGTCTTTCCATTAAATAAGTTGTAAGAGACGTCTGGCTTATATACTTCTTCCCCTTTTATAAAATTGATTTTACATGTTAAAAGAAGAGCTTTCAGACGAGTTGATAATTTTGTTCTTGATACTTTATTTATTTATTGATTTATTAAAATTGTTAATAAATAGGTTTGTTTTTTTTCACTTAACATAACTTTAATTTTTCCTAATCCTTATATTTAATAATAAATTGTAATAAACCTATATATGTAACTATTTATTCTATACAAATATTTTAAGGTTAACACCAGAAAAAAAAAATTACAAGACAAAATGTTTGCCCATTAGATTAGGTATGTTATCCTTACATATAATTGTAGTATAAACAATTATTAGTACTTTTCTCAGCAGTATCTGCAAAAATAAATATTGACCAACAAAATTATATTGATAAATACACAAAACGAAACAATTATTAGTGTAATTTCAGTTGGATACTATATGTAACAATTTGCTGCAGACTATTTCCTTTGTCTATTATGACATAAACACCCTACATGCAGTTTTTGGAATACTCAACGTCTTAATTTTGGTATAAGTTATTACATGATATCTATTTTTGCTGAAAAAGGAGGATTTTTGGGTGTAGGATTGGAACTTTAATACATGCAGTCCAAGTTTTTTAGTTAAGAACATTATCTTTTAAGATATAGGTATAACCTAGAAAAACTTTCCGTTATTTGATCTCTAACAGTAATTGAGAGCAACATGTATTTATCAATTACTAGTGGTTTTGGAAGGTAAACCCGGTCGTTGCTATTATTTGAATATATTTTTTTTTGCCGACTGGTGTTTAGCATCGAAAGTCACAGTGTGAGACCACTTAGAACCACTTTTTAGAAATCAATTGAAAAAATGTGAAAACTTTATTTCAGCAAACAGGGAAGAGAGATGTGGGGGGCTTAATACCTCGCGCGTTCGATCTATATAAGTTCTATAATATAAGTTCTAAGTGCGATTGGACTAGTTATAGACATTGTGACCAGCGTCACGAAAACCGTGATTGTAGAGAGGGATAATAGGGACATTAAAGTGCCACTCATCAAAGTGAATATTTATGTTGTTATGTTAAAAAAAATTTGCTCAAATTTTCGATTATTGTTATTCTTGTAAACGTAGCTTACCGATTTCTAATTATACCGATTTGTACAATTATGTTGGAGTGGAGTGTAAAGGAGTTGGTAGTTTTTAAAGTTTTTAATTTATGGCGTTTTAGATTGTTACATCTGGTTTCAATCTAGATTTACTCTCGATCTGTCAAATTAAGTTACCCAATCGAACATTTTTAGCATAATCTAACATTTTGGTAGTGATATTAGTAGACATTTATATTTTTCATAAATGCATACATCTAATCAAATAACCTTTTATTTATCAAGTTATTTAAAACAGCTGTTATTTTAGGGTAATCAGAGTACCAGCTAATCTGGTAAAATATCTAGTGTTATAAATTAATCTCTAGTATCATACATTTCGTTCGAGATTTACCAATCGAAAATTGCTGTAAAAGTGAATCTCGATTGAGTGATTTACTATTTATCGACAGATTAAACAAAGAAAAGCGGAATTACTTTTTTAGAGAGCTAGTCAGAAACAGAAGATGTTCCAAAGTTTATTTAATAGCCGATTGCTTGCACTTCCTGCATTTGTCACTGGTGCTAAAAACGGAATTACTTTTTTAGAGAGCTAGTCAGACACAGAAGATGATTCCAAATAACTTCTTGCAATTCTTGCATTTGTCACTGTTGCCAATGTTTTGCATCTGCAATAAATAAAATAAATAAAAATACTTTGTACGTCATTTCAATGTAGGGTATTATAAATTCATTGAAGACCAACTACATTAATTCAATTTCTGTCTCACGCAATGTTGCAAATGAAAAGTGATGTAAATTTCCATAGACCTACGGCACGGCATATAAAAGTTTAAGGTTTTTCCGTATGTCTTTGTCACTTGAAGTTTTTCGTGCGAGAAAATATCGTGCAACACGAAATCGTCACATTCATTTGCCTAATGGCACATTTATCTGAGTAGGAGTAGATACGAGTATTTGCCCGCAACACCAACTCTGGTGAAATTCTTGACACTTAAAACTTATAGTGACGTCTACGTTGCTATATATAATACTATTTGCAGACAAATAAATATTAATTCAACTACTTTTAATGTTATTGTTAATAAATAAAAATTTATATTAAAACTTATTTATTGTTGTTAATTGCATTGCTCACACAATACTTCGCTTAGCTCCCTCGTCTAGAACTCATTCGTGTGCGTAATTTGCCAATTGTTGTTCTCTGATTAATGATAGACTCATCAATCGTTCATTTCATCATTGCAAATTGCGAAAAGGTTATTGTTATTATTACAACAATTTGAGCTTCTAGTCAACGTTGCATGGTAATTGGAATTTTTTATTGCAATGTAATAGTGCTATATTGTTATTGTTATTGTTGTTGGTTGTTGTCTTGTAAGGTATTTTATATTTATTTTATTTTATTTTATTTTATTTTATTATTGGTCAAAAATGAAATTTTTCACAACATTTGCGAAATGTTGGTAACTTTTTAAGACTTTCATATTTTTTTATGTTTAAATTCTGAATAGGCGTCTGTCAGAACTGGTAATTGGTATTAGTCGACAGGACATACTTTTGTGGTGATTAAATAATTTTGAATTATTTTATTTTTGTTATAAAATAATTAAGTGTTAACAAAATCCTGCTTGAGTGTGAAAAGTCTTAAATTGTTAATTTTTTTTATTTTTTAATAATTATCCTGAAGGCGAATTATGTCTTTTCTTAATGATTCTTATAATTTCTTTGTGCCGGATTTGTTGTCTCCAAGGTAATTTAAATTTAATATACCATATATATATATATATTTTAAAAAGATATATTTAGATATTTATAGATAGATAGATACTTCCTTTTTATTCAATTTAAAAATTTTTTAACATAAGTAAGTATTATGCCTTAAATGTAAAAACATTGTTTAGAGTTACTTGATAATATATTAAAATAAATAATAAAGAATTGAATAATAAAGAAGTAATACCATAATAATAATAATAATAAATAAAGATAAATAAATAAGAAATAAAATTTAAAACTATTTTTTTTTTTTTTAATTTTAGAGCTATGGGATCTGAAAGATCAACATATGATTTTTCTGAAGCTAATAATATAATACAAGACGAACATGATTTTGCTGCAAGCTTTCAGCGTGTTTCCATATCTGGTGAAGATACAAGTGGTGTGCCATTGGAGGATTTGGAACGTGCTTCCGCACTATTGATACAAGCCTTAGAGTTACGTGCACGTTATATGCAAATGTCTGATCAATCATTTCCAACAACGACTTCCAGATTTCTAAAAACTATACAACAACGAAATCGTTTTAGTCACATTGAACATGAGGACCGCAAAACCATAGCAGGTAAATTATATTAATATTAAATTTTTTATTATAAATTTCTTAAATATTTTCTTTCGTGTAAAGAAGTGAAAAAAAAAATATTTTTTTATTATTTCCACTTTTCCTCAAAAAATATATAATAATAATTTTATATTATTTTTGTATAAATCATTTTTGTAAATTGAATTTTTTATTTTTCAAACCTCATTAAATTTCCTTTGCAATTTTTTTTCAAATGAGAAAAAAACTTTAAATTTTATGTGTGCAATTTTAATATTTAATAATAATAATTAATAATAATTTTTTTACACATTTTCTGAAAGGCTGTAATGTAAATGTTTCTTTCTTTTGGCACACAAATTTTTTTTACTATTAAATTTCTTCTTTTTATATATTAATAATTTATATTTGTATATATATTATTATTGTTTTTGTTGGACATTTTTATTTGACTATTATTCTTTTTAGAAATAATCCGCAAGATCAGTCTTCCCGACATCCAAACGGAAGGTAATTCGTTCGTTGTTTCATATTTCCTCGGCGAGCGAATCTTTATAAGTTTTAGTTTTTCTTATCCCTTGTATGCAATATAAATTTTAAAAATTGTTTTGCGTTAAAATATGTTTGGTTTTTAAACTATTTATTGTTTTAAATTGTTTAAATTCATTTATTTTTAATTGCATTTGTATTTTATTTTCTATTATTTAGTTCAAAATTTATTGCTTGCCATTTTTTTTTTATTTATATGCTTTCTGTTATATATTATTTATTGATTGTTTGATTTTACTGCTTATAACTTAAATGAAGTCTTATAGAATAACACAGTTCATTTACATCGATACACCATAATCAAATATGTAGTTATATAGATATTCTACAAAAATAGTACACGTCTATCAAAATCTTAAGATATAGTTTAATTCACATCTTTGTAGAATTGATGGAATATATCCAATAGATAAATCACTCTCTTTAACTGCTACACATAAAACGTAATTTTCAACTATATAACTCTTCTCAAATATATATAACTTCCCTTAATAACTCTCCAAAATTTGTAATTGAAATGAAAAGTAATTAAATTATGTTTAATTAATCTCACTGATTTGAGCATAGGCCTCACATAAACCTATTGGTTTCTAGGGTTAAAAGCATATAGAACGTCGACACTTTTTGCGAATCTAAATAATACTTCATACTTTATTCCTGTGACGTTCTCCAGCCTCTCAAATTGTGGAAGCCTCAAATATTTTAAGCAGAATTTAAACATCGGAAATGTTCGAAAGTCTTCTTTTTATATAGCGCTCTGTATTTTCTATCTTCGTCACTATTAGCAATCTATCTATCTTGTATGCATATCCCACTAATAGACTGCTTTCAATCAGCATACCTATATTATACTCAATAGTCCTATCCTAACTCTTTCATTTGTGTTAAATAAATAAATTAAAAAAAGTATAGTAGTATAGTAGGTTTTCTAATTACTTTTTAATGCAATTTAATCAATAAAATTTGCGTAATTTGAAAGCAGTCATTCTTTGCTCTAAAATATTAATAATTTTTAACTTAGGTTAAGTTAGGTTCGAATGTCAGCCTTGTGACCAAAGCCCATTTGAACTCAACTAATGGCCCATTGTGATGTCATAATTTATACTTATTTATATGCAGACCAGTAGAATTTCTGAAAGGACAACGTAGAAATCGTTGTTTATATGCAGACCAGTAAAATTTCCGAAAGGACCAAAGCGGTCAGCGTCCGAGCAACGCCAAAAATCATGACTACCGAATTCAAATGAAAATGAACCAACCTTAATATTCAGGATGATAGCTCTGTCAGGTCTGTGAAAAATGGGGTAAAGACTTTAAAAGTTTTTTTCTAGCCATTGATAGAAAATGACATATGAGGTGGAGTACATTTTCCTCCACATCGTCAGAGCTGCAACACTACATTTGTGGGTATTATTTACGGAAAAGCTTGTTTAACGACTTTTATTTAGTTTATTTAATTTTCAGCTTTCGTTTTTTAATAATACAATACGATATCAGAGACTAATTGATTTGAATTTAATTTAATTTTTGAATACGATCGTAGTTAATAAATTTGTTAGCTTTAATTGTGGGGTCTTGAACCTGGAGTAAGTTTTGTTTAGAGTTAGCAGAACAGATCTCAAAGTTTATGATGATCTATTGTCCGTTAAAAAATAATTGATCATAAAATATAATAATGTTTTTAAAATTCTAGTAGAAGTAAAGAATATGTTCATTTGATATATATATATTGCAATTAACACACTTAGTAAATACTATAAGGTTAGAAAAAATTAGTTAATATGCTTGTTGTCTGTCAATAACAAAAAATTGTACTTCTTTTTAAATTTTAGTTTGATATATTGTAATTTTTATTTTTATTATTATTTTTTTTTAATTTTATTTTTACAAATGCGTTAAATTCCTTACACAACAGGACATAGACACATAAAAAATTGCTTCGTTTTCAGCAAAAAGAAACCACTAAGCAAATTTAAACAAAGAGTTTATCTGTTAAAATGTTATATTTTATATTATTTTAATGTTTTTTTATAAATTTTTATATTTTTATAATAAATTATTTATAAGCAATATATTCTATAGCCTAAATTAATCGTAGAATTTTTTTTGTACTTTCATATATTTTTTATGCAAACGTAATGTAAAATTTAAAATTGCAATTCTGCATTTTTAAATAAAAATTGCACCACCTCACAACAACACCACCAACATAAACACAATTGCCATTGACACCAAAAACCACAAACCACATCACCAACGTATTTCGAAATGTGACCAACATGTAGATCATCCCATCCATCCACCCACGGACACCGCTAATCCATGGGATCTAGAATTTCCACCAGATAAAAACTTCGTGATTAAACCAGTTGATGGCGTATTTCACATATATGAAGATGAAGTATACTACAAAATTCCTTTTTTTTTATTCCATATCTCTATTTTCCTTTTTTTAGGTAAGCGATACTTCCATGAATTATAATTATCCAACGTTGAAGGAGTTTGTGAATGACATGCAAATTATGTGCAATATGATCGCCGATGGACCATTGTAAGTTAGCGTAATAAATATTATAAATTTTAATTAATTGATGAGAATAATTTATTTTAAATATTTCTCATCTATAGAAAATCATTTTGTTATCGTCGCCTTTGCTATTTATCATCCAAGTTTCAACTTCATGTGCTACTAAATGATTTGCGTGAGTTGGCTTCACAAAAACAGGTGCCACATCGTGATTTTTACAATATAAGGTAAGTTCAAAATATTGTTTTTATTGATTTAAATATTATTTAACTGTCCCTTTTTCTTTTTAGAAAAGTAGATACTCACATTCATGCAGCTTCATGCATGAATCAAAAACATTTGCTGCGTTTTATCAAAAAGACACTTAAGAAAAGTGCCGCTGAAGTGGTGACTGTAACTAAGGGTCAAGAAATGACATTAGCACAAGTCTTTCAATCAATGAATCTGACTACATATGATCTCACAGTAGATATGTTGGATGTGCACGCAGATCGTAACACTTTTCATCGATTCGATAAATTCAATGCCAAGTATAATCCTATTGGTGAATCCCGTTTACGTGAAGTCTTCCTTAAAACAGACAATTACTTAAATGGCAAATACTTTGCTGAAATCATAAAGGTATTCTAAAAAGCTTTCCAATTTTTGAAATCAAACATAAAAATAAAAAAATTTGATTTTTAATTTATAATAATAAAAAAAATATATGTATTTATTTTAGGAAGTTGCTTTTGATCTTGAAGAATCTAAATATCAAAATGCGGAATTACGTCTTTCGATTTATGGTAAACATCGTGAAGAGTGGACAAAACTCGCCAAATGGGCGATAGATTATAATGTATATTCTCCTAACATACGTTGGCTTATACAAATTCCTCGTCTTTTGTAAGAGATTTCAACAAATGTAAATTAAAACTCCAACTTAATAATTTTTTTTTGTCTTATAGCGACATCTTTAAATCCAATAATTTAATGAGCTCATTCCAAGAAATTTTAAATAACATATTTTTGCCATTATTTGAAGCTACAAATCAACCTAGCAAATATCCAGAACTTCATCGTTTCATGCAACACATAATAGGTTTCGATTCAGTCGATGATGAGTCCAAACCTGAAAATCCACTATTCGATGGTGATATCTCTACACCACCGAATTGGACAGAAGTTGATAATCCACCATATGCATACTATATTTATTATATGTATGCGAATATAACAGTTTTAAATCAATTCAGAAAGTAAGTGTAATAATAGCATAATTAAATAATAATTAATTAATATTATCTAAAATATTTTAGGGATCGTGGCTTGAATACATTTGTATTACGCCCACATTGTGGCGAGGCTGGTCCTGTACAGCATTTAGTTTGTGGCTATTTAATGGCAGAAAATATTTCACATGGTTTACTTTTACGCAAAGTGCCTGTTTTACAGTATTTATATTATTTAACACAGATCGGGATTGCTATGTCTCCGCTATCCAATAATTCACTTTTCTTGAACTATCATCGTAATCCATTACCTGAGTATCTAGCAAGAGGATTAATTGTGTCACTCTCAACAGATGATCCCCTACAGTTTCATTTCACAAAGGTATATAATTTATATATATAAATTTATAATAATAGCTAAGTATGAAATATTTATTTAAAAAAACATATTTATGTATAATATAAAATATAAGAGCATATCTCTTGAGGATTATATATACCCATGATTGTATATTGCATGATTTAGGGTAGACTTTCACTACTCTAAATGTAAAAATTTTGTTTGTTGACATCAAGCAAGAGATGAGTTTCATCACTATAGAAAATCCGATACCAAAATTCGTCACCATATATGTTTCCATTTTGTCTCTATTTTTCAAATAGATTTCACTATTTTAACATATACTGCGGCTGTTAAACGATCTTAGGTGTAAAATGACAAACATTAAATTGGGAGCTCTTTTTGACATACATATGTCATTGAAACATTACTGTTTAATTTAAAGGACGATATCCATTTCGTATATATTTCGATAACCCTATATATTATATTAAATACTAGCGCAGCTCATATTTTGACATTTCTGATATCAAACTTTTGAAATAGTCCAGATTTTCAAATACTAGTTCAAACTAATACAAATATTCGTATTTGTCGAATAGTTTGAATAAAAAATAATTCGATTATTTTATATTGCACTATTAAATACTTCTTTACCGGCGCGTGAATGCAGAGTTATTGCAACTTGGTAACGGTGAAGACGCTGTAAAGTTCACAAAGTCGCAGCGATTGAGATGGATCGGACATATCATGTCGGATGCCGGATGATAGACCACAAAAACGAATACTTCATTTCACGCCGTGACTCGGGAATGTGACCGACGACATCAGAAAAATGGGTATTCAAAATTGGAGGTCTAAAACAACATGCAAAGCAGATTTGTGAAAGTTGGTTGATGTAGCTAAAGCTCACTCCAAGCTGTAACGCTGATGATAATAATGATGATTAAATACTACATATTCAATGAAGATAATTTAAATATGAATATATAAACATTTAAACTATATTTTTTGAAACTACGACTCTAATTAGAACTATCTATTATTTCAGGAACCGTTAATGGAGGAATACAGCATTGCCGCACAAGTGTGGAAACTAAGCTCATGTGATATGTGCGAGTTAGCAAGAAATAGTGTTATAATGAGTGGCTTCCCTCATAAGGTACGTTTGAAATGTGTTACTATTAATAAATATATAATTTTTTGAGTTGTTCGAAGCTTAGAATATTTTAATGTTGAAGTATACTTTTTATTAAATTTAAAAAATAATTAAACTTAAATATGTAAAACTAAAATAACTAATAAAAATTATTATATGTAGGTGAAACAACACTGGTTAGGACCAAATTACACACGTGAAGGTGTGGCTGGCAACGATATAACACGCACTAATGTGCCAGATATTCGTACTGGTTACAGACATGAAACGCTTTTGGATGAATTATCGAATATTTTCAAAGTGCACGAGGCACCAAAGGAAAAAGTTTAAATTTAATATGAAAAATGAATAAAAATCATAGAAGGCAAAACTAACTTTGTTTACAGGAATTAATAAATGTATTATGAATTTACTTAATGTTAATTAATAATAAAATAGCTTTCAATTTTATTTACAAATGTATTTGAATATATCGAAATTATTCATTAGTTATATGCAAACAATTTATATATGAGATTGAGACCAAATTTATAAGCAAGAGCAGCTAAATAGAAAATAATTTTTATTCAACTGCTTTTGAATTAAAATACATTGTATATTAGTAGTATTTTTTTATTGTTGTTATTCTTATATTTATATAAAAATTAAATATACATTGTGGTAAAAAAAATATTTTGTGTACAACATATGAGTACAGAGCAATTTTTAAATAAAAATAAAATAAATAAGTAAAAATAATTATAAAATAAACACTGTTTGATTTTACTATTATTAAAGTTTTACTTATTAATTCACATTTTAATGGCTAGTTTATGATTGCGTGAACACTGAAAAACAAATTTAGTTTCAGAGTAGAAAAGTCTAATTAATTTTAATAAACAAAAAGTACTGATTCTTAAAAATTAGATGAAAATATTAGTTTTAAAATAAATATTAAATACAGTAAAGTATATTAGTTTTACAACATTTATGTTTTACTAAAAATTCATAAAAAAAATCAAAACATTAAAATTAGACAGACATAAGTACAAAATAATATATGTATGCTTAAACAATCTACGCTTAAACAATATGAACAATGTTTAAATTCTAAACTATGTACAAATAATTTCTGTGTTTAACACATAAACATACGAGAAAGCAAATATAGACCATAGCTAACCCAAAAGTTGAGATACAAATATGTCTTTCCATATATGACTTAAATTTAGAATAGAGTCTTTAAAGCTATTGTCACTGTATCTCATTTGCTTTCACATATTTGTTTTTGTCTTTTTCATAAAATTTTTAACGATATTTGTTAACGATTAGTCTTAAAATGGTGAATTCATGCCCAATTTTGTACCAAAATCTAGTCTAGCTCTACGTTGATATCGTGTGTTAACTCTGTTAATAAAAGAGACGCACTAATTAATATATAATATCTTATAAATATATTATTTTATACTTACTTTATTTCTTGCCATTTTGTTAGTTCAGTAACAAAAATACTAATCAAAATACCACAATAAAGAAATACTATAGCAGGCCATAATTGAAAAACTTCATCGTGTATATCTTCATCTAGAAGTACTTGCAATGCGCAGATAATGCCATGCAGTGTTAAAAGTGATAGACACGTTAGTGCCCATATGCGATTTCGAAATGGACTCTTCTGCCAGAGTGAATGGTCACGATGCACGAAGGATGCAGATATAACCACTATTGTATAATAAAATATTTTTAGCATTATTATTAATATCAACTAATATTAAAAATAAGGTGATATAAAAAGTAGTGACGGTTTTTTTTATAGATTTTTAAATAAAAATTTTCTTTATCAAAAATTAGTTTTAATTAAGTATATATTGGTCATTATTATCTATGACCTATTGTCATTTTGCGGGTAGCTTCTTAATTTCTTTGGTGTAGAACTTTTGTGATTAAACGACGAAAAACTTGGCCAAGTGATTTTCAGCGGTTATTTGGTTAGCCAATTTTTTACTGTTAAGAAAGTTTTGCAGACACCGAAACAAACAGTAGCCTTTTCTGTTCGCTAATTTTGGACACAACTGTCTTCACAAAAAATGTAACCTGTTCAAATATATGCTCATTTGTAACAATCAGATTAGTGTTGCAAGATGTGTGGGTACCAACATCATCTAGTTATAAAAAACCGTTGATACTTTCTTTATCACCTAATATTAGTTGAGGTGTTTAGACCGGACTCGATAGTTCGATATTCAGTCTAAATACCACCTACATTATTACCGAAATGCAGCAATATTCCAAGAAATGAGAATATTCTCGCTATATGTAAATTAATGTGTAAATCATCGTCATCTACGTCAATGATTTCAATTGGATGAGCCATAAATGCACAATAAGCTAAAATCTGAAAAGCAAAAATATTATTTATAATTACTTTTTAGTTAGGCTTCAAATAAGTGTTTTACTCACTATAATTAAAATAGGTGCTAAAAATTTGCAGCCATAACACCATAATACGAACCCAAATACTCTTGTATCGTATTCAGTCTGCTTTTTGCCCGTAGCTCGATTCATAATCTTTGGATCTACATCGATATGTGCCAATGCTAATGATATGAGCGGTACAGGAATACACATTAAATATATAACCATAAGTGGTGTTAATATTGGTGGTAAAGATATACATGCACTAAGCATATTGATAATTGACAGAGTACCAGCACAGCATGCCCAGTATTGGATGCAATTCCATAAACCCGAAGAAAAACGACGTGATAACTCAATAATGCCTAGTAAAGATAGTGGATCCTCCCGACTGACGGCTATCGAACATGGCAGTGAATTAAGCATACGACTTAGATAAACTGGTGAAATTGTATTGCCTAAACATTGCATAGGACGCGCAGTCTCACCATTCTCTAATAGTTCTTCATTAACGTACGGATCGCTATATTTATTATCATTACTTAAACCCTTTTGACATGTTTGTTGACGTAATTTATTATTTTGTAAATTGGCCTCAGTGTAGGCAGGCATTTCCTTACAGACCTGTGGATAGAGTGGTTCTACAGCTATACTGCAATCAGCTTGCAGAAATATTTCAGCATTAGTTCGGCTAGCTGAAGAACCTAGACAAACAACAATTTCACCATATGATTGCATTATATCTAACATTTGGACAGTTGCTTCCGCTGAACAATCGGTAAACAGTGAAACTTGTAATGGCACATTATCTACTTTCTCCAAATGTGGTCTTATATTTTCAATGCCGCGAGGTAATTTTGCACGATTTGACATATCGAAATTTACCGGCACACTATGTTCAGTACTATCAGTCAAAATGCTTAGTGAACGACAGTTTTCATCCAAAGCTGAGTCTTGCGAAGGGCGACGTTGTTTGAGGCTCGCATTATCGGGCTCATTATCATTTAATGATTCTCTCGAGCCTACAAGGCTGACATTAGAAGAGGAAGGATTGATACCACGCAACATATTGTAGTTATGATTGGATATGGCGCCTGGCGCAGATGAACTTAGTGTTTTTGAAGACTCTAGATTTGCTGGTGGTAACAGACAATTTAGGTCAGTTTCGTCGTTTTCGCTGGTACCTGCAACATTATGTGCAATTGATATTGGTTGAGTTTGATTCGTTGTGCATATAGTGGGAATACTAGTGAAATCATCAGGATGAGTTATTAATGGATTGGGGGTTATAATGAAATTTGTGGTAGTGGTGGTGTTAGCATGATTTGACTCAATAATGTTCATGTTAGTCGCATTGTTAGTTAAGTCTTTTTTACCAGTACTTTTTGGTGATTGCGCAGTTACAGCAGAAGTTTTATCATCAGTTTCACTTAAAAGTGATATGTGACAATTCCAACCTGATTCCAGACCCATTTTCTCAGAAAAGACGCGTGACCGTAACTCATTTTCTTTACTGAAATGCACGAAACGTATGCAGGCACGTTCTAAATTTTCAACTAATTGAACAATATCTGTTTGGGCTTGATATTGCATTGTTACCATGCCAATAAAAACTTGGTGACATTGCATTTCAAAGCAAGCATCCACATCATTTATATCTTCATCTTTACTCTCAGAAAATAAAAGAGAATCGGTACTGATGCTATGACTTAATTTAGTGTTACCGCACTCAAAATCACAGTGCGCTTTATCTACATGCTGCATACGTATTTTCGACTCGGGTGGTAATTCAAGATAAGCAATAGGTCCACCCTTATGTTGTGCACCATTTAGGGCACTATTTATGCCATGACGTAGTGGACGATATGCAAATGCAGTGCAGTAGGCTGTTAAGGCGCTTCTCTGATAAAAGTCCAAAGCACGTTTACGGTCCTGTGTTGATAATGGTCGAAGGTCTTTACCATCCCAAAAATCATCGCAATAATCTAAGATAATATCTGCAGTGCCCTGTGTAAATAGCGATAAATAGCCACCAGGATTTTCACGCATGACAACCGACAGCGAGTGGGGAAATGGAACCTTTACTTTAGTCGAGAGTTGTAATTGACGCGCAAAACGTATATCACGGCGCACAACGTCTGGTTGCTAAATATTTTTTTTATTTATTATTCAGTTAAATAAAAGTAGAAAAAATTATTAATTAATTACCAAATGTCTATATGAAGCCAATTGTCCTTCTAGCAGGAAACGATCGGTTGCATGATCTGTAAAACCTATCTGCTTAGCTAATTCGCACAGACAACGTCTGCAGCATAAATTTTTAAAATAATAAAAAAATTGGTTTAAAATTTCGATTATTTTAATATTTCTAAGATGATAGTGAACTTTGTAAATGTGAAAGAAACAGGTTATATATAAAATAACAATAATGATATATGAATTTTGATGATATGTAAGTTTTGTGACTGTAATCACTTTAATAAAAAAAATTTACATGTTGTAAAAATCAATTTGAACTGAAAACATAACGAAAAAAAGCACTACTAAATGAAAATCTACATAAGTGACATCAAAACATTAAAAAAGTTATATAGGAATTCTAATAAAAAATATATATTTTATACAAGCCAATATTTAAAGGTATATAGATTAAATAATATCTGATACCAGATAATAATAATGCCAATACAAAAGAGTCATCAACCTACAACATACAAAATGTTGATTTAAATAAAATTTTTGTTGTTGTCTTTTCAGTTCTAATCGAACCCTACTAACTTTTAAATAGTTTATTTTCCTCATAAGATGCGTTACTTTCGGCAAAAAAAAAATTAACATTAAAATTTTTTAATCATATTTTAAAGTTATTTAAGCCAATATTTAAAGGTTTACATACAACTACAGCTAATAATGATGTGCCATACATAATAGACATCAACCCACTAAATCTTATACACTAATTCCAATATAAGAAATTATGTTTAATATTTCAAGACTACTTAAGCAAATAAACTGAAAGGTAATAATGATGTCACTTATGTTTTAAACTTAATTTTAAAGCAAAAAATTTATGATGTGTAGAAAATTTGCCAATTACATGCACTAAAAATGTAACTGAATCTTAAGAAAAAACAATAACAAAGGTAAAAACTGAACAACATATTGTTTAAAACAAATACTGAAATTAAATTCTTAATTTTTCTGACCTGGAGAGCGGCTTCGCAGTTTCATTAAACATAACTTTTAGTTTAAAAATTATTTTAAAATATTTACAAAAAAATTGCTATAAATTATAAGTTAAAAGCTTTTAAGTATGTGTATATGTATATTATATACAGGTACTGTTTCATAAAAAAAATTATAATAATAATATATAAAAATGTTTTCTTTTTTTGAATTTTGCTTCCTTGTAGAAATTGTGGTTTGCTTTTTTGCGCTGAAAATCAAACATTTTGGAATTTTTATACAACAAAATACAAAATTATAAATTCCAATTCAGTCATTTATGTTTAAATAAAGTAAAAACTATAGAAAATCAAGCAGAAATGAAAATGAAACTACGTACCCATGCAAAAATGTATTCATACTGGTCTCAATCATCGCATACCGATTTGTTACGGGAACCAGATCTTTATCCAACGTAGCAACTGCGGTGACATGACCGCAAAACTGAGAATAATGCGCGTGCGTAAGAGGAGAGCAAGTGTTGACCAGTATAGCAAGTCCTAATAATAGTAAATTATTATTAGTTTTATAAATTTATATTATATTTTATTTTTAAAGTCAATTATGACGAAAGAAAATTTTTTTTTAATAGTAAGGTTTTTTGATAAAACAAAATTTTATAAATTCAAATATTTCCTAACACTAGAAACAGCGTTGTATGGTCAATCAAATTTCAATAAATTAACTAAAATTTTTGTGGTTGCCTTTTGATTTCTATTCGAACCCTTCTAACTTTTAAATAGTTTCTTTTCGTCATAAGACGCGTCAAGTTAAGTTAATTAAATTTTTGGCTGACCATACAGCTATTTCTAGTATTGCCAAATATTCATCATCAGTTATCCTTTTGGAAATTCTATTTATATTTCATTATACGTAACATATATAATTTTAGGCAGCAAGTACCTAGACTTGAACTTATAACCTGTCAAATATGAAACTCAGAATCAGTGCTAATTAACCAACTGACACAAAGCCGTACTTGACTGCTATTGTTTTGTTAATTTGTTTTGAAAATTCTTTAACAAATTCACTTGCTTTGTTATATTTTTGATAACATTAGACAGTATTTTAATTATTAATTATAGCTCTTTCTTCTTGGACTTTCAAATCAAAACAGGTCCTTGAGTGTTACGAGCTTCTGCAATCACTTGCAGCTCGGAATAAGGTAAGCCTTTACTGGATTCCGGGCCACAGAGGAGTTTTGGGAAATGAAAAAGCTGATGAGCTAGCCAGAATTGCATCAAAAACTGCTTTTATAGGCCCTCAACCCTTTTGTGGAATAAACTGGGCCAGTACAAAACAGATTATCAAGGAAATGAAAAATCATATGCGGCTGAAGTACTGGGTAAACTTTCCAGGACTCAGACAAAGCAAAGCACTGATAACACCGTACTCCTACAAAGACATTCTTAAATACTCAAAATGTAATTTAAGGTTGATAACAGATTTCATTACAGGTCATTATGGTCTGAAATATCACCTTCATAAACTACAATTATCTGCTAACTCGGAATGCAGATTATGCATCGAAGATGAGGAAACGACCATGCACATTCTTTGTGACTGTCCAGCTTTAATAACGCACAGAAGAAACCTGTTTCATAAAGAATTTCTGTCACCAGAACAGATTAAGAACTCTTCTCTAGATTTAGTTCTAGACTTTATTCACAAAGCTTAAGGGGCTTTATTTAATCAATAGTTAAACTGGTACAATAGGTCTCTTCTGGCCGCAGTACCGGCTGTTGGGCAATTTTCACGTCTACTCTCTTAATAATAAAAATAATAATAATAATTATTAATTATATTATATATTTCCCACTTACCAAGCGGTTTTAATGAATTGATATGCGCTTTCCATTCATGATCGTCAAACTCCAAACGAAATGGACAATGTTGGTCATGTGTCAAATCCAGCACTTCAGCGACAATACCTCCATCTTTATTATTATGATGTACTGGTGGTTCGTCGCTTTCAGTATGTAAAGTTGATTGACTATTACTATGTTCCTCCAAATTAATTTCATCGTTTTCGTGTAAAAAGAAAACCTTCTCTGCAGTTGGGTTAGGCCATGATAGTATACCTTTCTTATCAACACAACATAGTGCAGTTATGGAACCTAAAACTTGTACTACATTTGCAGAACGAGCTAGAAGTTGACTATCACCATTCCATAATTTCATCCAATTATAAAATACATGCGATCTCATTAATTTAATATTATCATAGTCGTAAGTGGGTGTATCTAAATCTTCCTCAAATGATGTCTGCATGTGTTTCGGTAGTAGTGCTTGTGGTGTTTTTATAAAACACTGCAACCTGGCTATACCCCAAAGATTCATTGAGATCCACATTATTGGAAATATTAATGGCAGTAATGGTATAACGGCAGCAGCAGGTGATTCAAATAGAATATATTTCCAGTGATGCTGCTCATCATTTGCATTCGCTGGTTTCAGACCAACACCATGCATACGCAATATTCCAGCAAAAAGAGTTAAGCACATCATTAATATAAAGCCCCATTGCTGTATGTATTTTGTAACTAACTATAAATTGTATAGTATATATGTAGATAAAAATACTAATAGGCCATTTATTATTCTAGTCATAACTTACCAAATAACGTTGTTGATTATAAATTGTCGGTGGACGTTTAAGCGAGTTTTCCAAAATTGTACGTAAATGTTCTGAATATGGTGTATTTTCTAATGAGCAAATTAAGTCGGGCAAAGGTGCTCGTGCTACTGGTTTTACAGGTGGATCTGTATTTACAGCCACACCATAAACTTCATTCATTTTGAAACATTTTTTACCTCCAATTTCGCTACATGGTCCTGGCGTCATATGACCAGGTCGAATTACTATGTGATCACCTCTAACTAATAGTGACCAAGGTAAATTTACAATAACACCATCTCGATATGTCCATTGCAAAGTAACACATGGCGATATTGGTGAGCTTAAATGCGGATAATTACAAGGTTGCCAATCTGCAGAAAGCTCCTGTTCGGCAAGCTTTATGTCGATTAGACAAGCACGAGTTTTACGATAAATTTCAGTACGTCGTAAATTATTCTCACGTATTACAAAATATAAATCCAATATTGTACAAAGTGTTAAAGATATAGCTGCCAAATATGAATTCGCTACAAGTAGAGCTATTATCGTTAAGAGAGATGTTGTGATAGCAAACCAACCAAGTGGGCTATCGTATCTCTTTACAAATGCTGAACGTATTTTGCGATAACAACTATAATTAAAAAAATTTAATCATACCACATAATTTATAATAAAATGTTGTACAATACCTTTCATTCGCATATTTTTGTTCAAATTCTAATAGTATTTTCTCTAATTCGTCATGCAGTCTTGATAGTGCAAAACGGGTAGAGAATCCTTTGGTGGTTTCTTTTCCTGTCTCACAACTATTTGCAGTTTTTGCTTTGCTGGACATTTTTAACCTTTAAGCTCACATTGAAACATTTAATTATTTATTACAAATTGTTTTCTACACAAATGATGAGCTATGATGCACTATTTACAGGTACTATTACACTTTGCAATTGAGAAAGGATGAGTATCTACAGACATATTGTCAAAATTTTAATTGACATTTATTGGGATATTTTCTTATCAATAGCCATATGCTGTTTGTTTTGGGATTTTTTGCGGTCTCAACAAAGAATTTCCCACTATATGAAATGTCAAACATGACGCTCTGCGCTTTATAACAAATTTTTGCAAATTCCACAAATTGAATGCTACAAAATGAATATTATAGAATTGAGCGATATTAAAATTAAGCCGGACGTGTTTTATGAATATAATGCAAGTATTAAAGATGAGGAAATTCCACTAGTTATCGATAATGGTTCCTACAAATGCCGAGTTGGTTGGAGCACTTGTGACAAACCATTGCTTGAATTTCGAAATTTAATTGCAAAACCACGCAAAGATCGAAAAAAGGATTTAACTGAGCTACCCGCAGGACCTGAGTTTCAAATTGGTAACGACATTACGAATATAGAAGCTGTGCGTATGCAATTGAAAACACAATTTGATCGAAATGTTGTAACTCATTTTCACAATCAGCAACAATTATTCGATTATACTTTTGAGCATTTAAACATAGAGCAAGATGGGTGTGTACCACACCCAATAGTTTTAACCGAAGCTATAGGTAATCCAAATCATAGCAGAAAACTAATGAGTGAATTGCTCTTTGAGTGTTATAATGTACCTGCTGTGAGTTATGGCATTGATTCACTTTTTAGTTTGCATCATAACAGCTTACATGAAGATGCATTGATTTTATCTTTTGGTTACTTCACCACACATGTCATTCCTGTACTGAATGGAAAGCTGCAGGCGGCCAAAGCTCGACGGCTTAACATTGGTGGTTATCATATAATAACTTATCTCTATCGACTAATGCAAATGAAATATCCAGTGCATCTTAACGCTATTACTATAAGTCGTATGGAAACTTTAATACACAAGCACAGTTCTATAGCGGTTGATTATCAAGATGATTTACGTCAATGGTCTCAGGCAGATTTCTATACAGCTAATGTGAAGAAGATACAGTTGCCTTATACCGTAGCCCAACCTGCTACTACACTAACAGTCGAACAAAAAAATGAAAAGCGTCGGGAACTTGGAAAACGTCTTATTGAGTTAAATGCACGTCGTAATAGAGAAAAGCTTGTGGAAGATGAAGAACAATTTATGATAATGTCAGATATACGTGCATTGCATGAGACTGGCGAAAAAGATAAATTTCAAGCGGCATTGAAGGATAATGAACTTGCAAATCTGCAGGAATTAGATAAACTTATGACTACAGTCAGTGCTCGAATTGAACGCACTAAACAAAGATTAGCAACACCTACAGATAATACAACTCAAGTTACTAAAGAGAAGACAGTTAATATAGCCAAGCCACCACCAGAAATACCACTCGATGAGTGGTTAACAGATTTGAAAGCACAAAGAGAAGAATTGTTGAAACGTAAACATGGGCGAAAGATGCGTCGACAAGACTTGGCCAAGCGACATACTTTAGCTGCACAGGAACGTATGCGTATAATATCTCAACTGGCACGTAATGAAAAAGGTGCTGATGAGTTTGGTATGGATGACAAAGACTGGGATGTGTACAAAGTAATAAGTCGTAATGATGACGATAGCGATAGTGAAGTCGAAAATGAGAAGTTGAATGAGTTTGAAAATATTCTGCGGCATTACGATACAAATTTTGATGATTCAACCTCTGGCACAAATGTTGAGATAACAGCAGAAAATTATCAATTACACGTCGGAGTTGAATCTTTGCGTGCACCAGAATTGCTTTTTCAGCCTAGTATGATTGGAAGCTCTGAAGCAGGTATAGCTGAATTGATTGACTATGTGCTCAAACTTTTTACCCCTGCCGAGCAATTGAGATTGGCCAATAATGTTTTTATGACTGGTGGTTGTGCACAATTTCCGGGACTTAAGCAACGATTATCAAAAGAACTGCTAGAAATGCGTCCATTTCAAACAACACATAATATTATTGAAGCACAAATACCAGATCTCGATGCTTGGCTTGGTGCAAGAGATTTTGCTAGATCAGAAAATTTTAAGAACACAATAACAACTAGAAGTGATTATGAAGAAAATGGCTCTGAATATTTTAGAATACACAATAATAGTAATCTGTTTTTCTCAACACCACAGCAAATTATTCAATAAACTAAGAAATATTTTGCATCGAAATGATATTGTTGTTTGTAATCAATAGAGAAAAAAAAGTTTTGTAATAAAATATGGTATATTAGTCGTAATTGGTGTATAATGTATGAAATCTATAAATATTCCTTTTATTTATATGAGATAGATTTTTTACTTAATATGCCTGGAAATTCTTTGGAAGGTTTCAGCATGAAAGTTGGGCGCACTCTATTAAGAAATAATCCAGCACTATTATTGAGATGTGACGAAAAGATATTAGTCTAGTGGTAGGTTTGTTGTTGGGCCACACGAATTTAGAGAACCACGTTTGAAGATTGAATGTCCCGTTTAATCATTCGTATATCAGTTGTGGTGAGGACGATAAAAGTACCCCCCATCCGCCTTGTTACTACTTAGCGCAGTAAAAGAATTCTAATTCTTCAATTTTTTTTGTATTGAGTCTACTAAAAAGGGCAAGCAAAAACCCGAACATAATTTTATTATTTATAACAATAAACTATATAATAATTTTATTAGTTATATATCATTTATTTGATATAAGCTTTTTATAAACGCTTACTTATACATAAATGAATACTAGCAGTTCATATTGTTTAGTAAAAATACATAACTTGACAATTCATTATTAATACTAACATTTTATATTCATTTAAGTAAGAGATTAGTTTAAAAGTGAAGACTTGCGAATTTGAATTTTTGAAAAAAAGCTTTTTAATTTTTTGAAGTTCATGGTGGAAATTAAAACAATTTTAAATGAAGTAACTAAACTTATTGATAAAAAATTTGTATTTTAAATTTAAGCCAAATTAAATGAATAAATTAATATAATTTTACCCACGTACGCTAGTAAATTAAATTGATTTATGAGTTTGATGGCTATTTGTGTTTGTTTTTCTTTTTTTTGCGTCGTGGTTTTTTCTTTCGATTTTATTTCTTACTACTTTTACTGCCTTCATCCTTGCCCTTATCAGATTTCTCATCAACTTTTTTTTCTTTTTCTTTTGTTTCCTTGTTATCCTTATTCTTAGCATCCTTATCTGCAGCATCATTCTTCTTTCCCTCCTCGGCATCACGATTTGTAAGCTTGTTGTTGATTAAATTATGTAAGGCAATAATTGAACGAACCATAGATGCAAGATAAACAACCAGCATTTGATCATTAGTTTTAACATACATGGTCTCTGTGAAATGATCACTTGTTATATCTGGCAAGAGGTTGAAAATATCTTGCATTTGATAGACTATTTGATGGTTTATTGGTATTTTGCCATCGCCAACACGCTCTAAGTAATTTTTAATATCTTTTAGTTGGGCATTTAAGCCTTTAAGACCCATTAATTGGTTGGTAATTTTTTGTGACAAGCTGCCGACTGTTGTGTCCTTGATATCACGTAACAAATGCTCAACACCGACTTCTTCAGCTTCTTCGGCACCTATTTCACTTGGAACATGTTCAAAAGTTTTACTAGTGGGTGAACCGTCCTCGTGCACTTCTTCAACAGCAATATATGCTTCGGTTGGTAGGCCAAGATCTTTCGGTTTAGCATCAATAATGACTAGCACAGAATTGGGACAGTATCGTCGCACCAACTCATTTATTTCAATATCATTTTGATGCAATTTTGGGCCTGTGTGATACCAACCTACAACACGTTCTCGCGCATTCACTTTTTTAAACATTCCATACATATTTTCCAAATAATCATGATCCAAAAACCAAACTGACTTATCTCTTTCATCCTCATCAAATGGAACTAAAATGTATAAACAGATATATAATATATATTAATTTTAGGCAAAATGCAAAGTTAAAAATATATCTATACATAATAGTGTTATTACTAACCCGCAAAGCTGTTAGATATATCTAGAACACCTTTCGAACGCCAGCTTCCCAATAAAATTCCACATACACGTTTGTGGCTACCAATTTTGCCCATTCTGTTGAAATGATCCACAACAGAAAGCAACACCAAAGGGTGCACAATAACTTTATTGATGTTAACATCCATGACTGGCATTTAATAATATTTAAAAATTATCGTAAGAAAATAAATAAATCCAATGAACACTCAATATTACTAACTTTGCGCCGCTAATACAAAGCAGGGCTTTTTTTGTGGAATAAACGTCAAAAATATTCAAGTCATTTTTATTTACAGCGTTGCCAATTGTTGTTATTTTTTATATATTCAAAGTTGACAGACTTTTACAAAAGGTTTACACACGCGTGCGTTACGCGTGTTTGATTGGTAACGGCTCTAAATATGTACTTATCCGTTTAAAAGATGTTATGAAATAAAATTTATGCAAACGTATAATAAATCTAAATAGAAGAATTTCTATTTCGATTATCCGAATCTTTAATACCCCCCAAACAAATAATTTTGTTAGAAGTAAGTTATTTGCGTTACACATACAAAATATTTTTTGTTGTATATTAAATTATAATTTAACGTTACTTCTCATATTATAAAATATATTGGTTTATAAAAAAAATAAATTAATAAGGTTTTATGATTAAAGAACGTATCAAAGCGTATATGAGTTTAGAACAGGATTAAAAGCTAAACTGACATTGTATTTAATGATTTTCAAATATAATTTCTATTGTTATATGTAAACTAAAATTATCAATACATAAAACTAAAGACTTGTTACGTTGGTTAAAAATATCATAGCAGTTTACGCTATCATATTTAAAACATTTATGGGTTAAACGCTATAAGCGTGTAGGATTAAGTCACATTTGCCATACAAAATCCACACAAAAACATACAATAGTGAACAAAATAAACACGTCACTTTTGTCTTGTTTTCTATTTGCTTTTGGTTTTTTTGTTTTATTGTTCGTTAGATTTAAAAGTTAAAATGTGAATTAATTAAATAATTCTTAAGGCAAAATTGATTTGTAGTATATATAAGCCAAAATTTATTTATAAAATTTCCTACATTTTTTACTTTTTACAAAATTTATTATGAAGGGTTTAACAATTATTGTTTTCAATAGAAACGTAACCATTAAGAATTATAAAGACAAAAAATTCAAATATAATTATTAAAAGAATTAAAATTGGTTAGTTACGTCTTTTATTTAGCGCAAAATGTTTCTAAAATTTGTTGTATGTTGTATAAACTATTAAACACTATTTAAATTTAACCAGTTTAAAAAATGTTTAAGAGTTTTTTTAAGTATTTATAATATATCAAATCAAAGTATCAAAACTGTAAAACTATATTAAAAAATTAACTACAGATTTAAGGGCATAAATAGGTTAAATTATTTACCACTGCTGACGAATCTGAAACATTATTAACAAAATTTTCTAAACATTTTACAAATTGATTTTAATTAATAAATAAAAAATAAATTTTATTTTTATAATATTTTCATTTATAAAAATAAATTTTGATATTAAAAAAAATATATATATGATATTAAAAATTCTTTTTCTTATTACATTACAATTATTTATTTAAATTTTCTGTTGCAAACTAACAACAACTTATTAAATGTTAAAGCTTGTATGTTTTATTATGTTTCCAATACTATTTTACTAGAAAATGTACCATCATCAATTTAAAATCAATCAATTGGAATCATTCGAATTTTACTATTTATTTGTAATTATAAGTAAATAGTTGTTAACTTCAAATAGCATATTATCAATTTATTTTTGCTTCTTTTTTTTTTTTAAATAAAGGTTTGACTTAAATGCATACCATAAGGGCGCGTTAAACGGAGTGAGCGTAATATAAAATGAACCCTCGCCGAACTGATGAGTAAAAATTTTACACAAATAATAAACAAAATGATGAGTACGTTACGCGCTTACAAGAAGAAGAACTGCTACAACAAAAGCATTGCTACAACAGCAATGGACTGCAGGACTTCTCTTTATTTTGTATGGTACGCATAATCGTGTCCTGTGTATAGAGGGTGTGACCGGGTTAAATGCAAAAATTTTTTATAGTTTGTTCGATGCTCAGAATGTGAAGTCCTTTTAAGCGCAGTTATTGTGCGGAAATTAAATAAATTTTATTAAATTATAAACAAATATTGTGTATTTTTGAAAATGCGGAAAATAAAATAAAATCCCGTTGCAGTAAAGTTCGATTAAATAAATAAAAATGAAATCTAATGAATATAAATAAGTGAATAAATAAAAGTAATGATAGTGTTTGATTTTTAGTGAGAAAAATATGTACCTATAGTAAAAATTTTACTACGATTTTTTTTGCAATTAATTAAAATAATAAGAAATAAATGAAATAGTGAAATATGTTTTGCTAATATATATAAAATTTTAGCATATTTTTTTTAACGATAATGCAATTTTGAAATGTAAAAAAATTTACATATAGCAAAAATGCAATGTTAATTTTTAATACATTAAAAACTAAAATAAGGAAAGAATAATTTGTTTTATAAATGTGAAATATATAAAATAAAAAATTGCAAAAAATAAAAAATAAAATAAAAAAAAAATTAGAAGTTGTGCAATTTGTGTGCATTGAATAATTTAAAATTAAAATTTGAAGTCACTCCCTGTCTGCTATAGAAAATTTTAATTTCTATTGTACACTGCTTCTTTTACTTTTTTGTATCGACGACCTCAACACTGCACACTACACCACCAATACATCGCACTGCCATTGCCATCCTACCACCCTCCCACCCGTACTCGCAAACTCGTTAACCCTCGTGTATATGTATGCTGAATGCACGACCATACTCGCTCGTCAGGCATAAAGTAACAAACAGGAACAGCGGGAACACTTGAGTATCCCGAACTTAAAAAGGATTTTAATCAATAAGATACACATAAGCACTTGCCGATATAGCAACTGTATAACAGGATAATTTTGCTTTGCTTTTTGTTACTGTGTTTTCATAACTTTGTTTTTGTTTGCTTGCAAATTTTGTTACTCTCAATGTGAGTATGAGAAGTAATAATAAACAATACTAATATGAAGAGTAAGAGAAAGAGAGTGAGAATGAGAATGAGAAGAGAAATAACACAACACCGTATTTTTATGTGAATTTTAGTACCACACGTAACTTAAAAAATAATTTACATAGATAAAAATAATTAAATAAATTGTTTATATATATTTTTTTATTATTAACATTTCAATTTTTTCCTAAATCTTTTAATAACAATTTGTTTTATCGGCAACTCATTTATTTATACCTTCTCGCTGCGCTCTCTCATATTTTCATGTGCATTAAAAGTCCCGGAAAATGAGAATTCGTTACCAACATGCACTCCATAACGCACACACATATCTAAACATTAATAAATACATACACAGAAACACACTATAATCAAATTATGCTTTTACGTTATTTAATTTTACGAAAGGGTTCCCAACCAAGCAGACAAACGTCCTAGAAACGAAGTGTTCTCGTAAAAGTGCGGTTAACCAAAAAGGACATGCAATTCTTTAACCGACCTGAAGCAATGAAATAAATTTCTTCTTTTTTAAACTTACTGTTCGTTGGACAAAGCAAACAAAAGTGTCTCGTCGTTGCGCATAATCATATTTACACAGCACATAAAGTGCATTTTCTTTAACTGCATAATACTGTTAAAATAGCTCATACTACAAATAAGCTTGCCTCACATAATAAGATAATAAAAACCGCACATAATAATAACAAAAAAAAAAATCTTAATAAAATATGCAAGATGAATGTGATAATAGCAGCCCAAGGGTGCGACGACACCAATTAAGGCTGTCAAACCATTTTGCAAGTATCATTTCCAAGCTGTGCAATGAAGCTGTGCAGTAGACAACTTCAAACAGGACATTCATCAATAAACCCTTCTTTTCTTATAAAAGAAAATACACATAGCACATCACAATCATAACAACAGACACATGCTTGATTTTTGTTCTTGTATATGGACAACAAAATTAAACATAACAACAACAACAATCGAACAGAGATTCAATGCTTCTGACAACACGAGAGTTTAGGGCTTTTTAGTGAGAGCTGCATTTTAGCAACTTCCTGAAATGTAACAATTAATGTGGGCGTAGAGTAGCAAAAAAAAATTCCTGCTTATATCTTTTTCTATTCAGTGTATGCAGGGTTTAGTATGTGTGTGTGTGTGTGTAGCATGTAACATGTAGAAAAGCTGTGCTTAGGGCAACATTAAGTACAAAGAAATAAAAACATAAGTTGAAGGATAAATGAATGTAATGTACTAAATTTTTTTTAATATATCTTTGGAAGAATGGAAGTTTTGATGTTTGTAGTGTGTTGTTTCGAGTGCAGTAAATTGCTGAATTGTTGTCTAAAGCATACTTGACATACTTCCGCTGACTTAAGACTTTGTTTAACTTTAAATGAGTTTACTTGTACGTGAGCTCCGTTGACGTTCTCTGACTGCTAAGGCGGATTGTTCTTTAAGATACAAATATTCTTCAAATTTTAAAATATTTATAGGCTATGACTAAAAAATATAGTTTCTTTTATGAGATTTACGCTAGATATAATAGCCAATATGTCAGATCCCGAAACATTTCTGTAATGTCATATATGATATGATATCATATGATTTATATATGATATATATGCTATAGCTATATACACTGCTTGTCTCAATAAAAAATTTAAACTTAGATTTAACGAGCAATTAAAACATCGGTGGTTGCTACAATTCATGACGATTTTTACTGCAGTCCAATTGTATGGAATATAGTGTCCAGCGACTGTGGTTCTTTTGTATAACAGAAATGGTCAACTTGATTTTTATTATTTTTAGCTACTATAGTCAGTTATTGTAGTGTCTGGAGCACCACTGCAGGAAAGGGGTTAGAATTTTCCCGAGGTGAGACATGCGTATTCCGAGAGGCGAGTAAAATCCAATAGTCACTTCATTCTAGTAGTGAGTGAGTTTTACTTGCGGCATCCGACTGGTGATATTAATGTGGTACAGCGAGGGTCAGGGCTAACAGCTTCAGCTGTCCTGGCGAATGGACCTTGGTATCTTTAATGATTATTCATTTACTTTACTTTAATGAGATTATTGTGTGGGATCCGCTTAAAACTGAAAGTTACGCGAAAATACTAAGTGTATTCAGAGCTATTAGATAGTGATATCTCACTATTGGC